TACATCTGCTTGTCTTCACACTCGCCCGAGCATCACCTTTTCAGCTCAACCAGACGCAACTTTCAGCCTGCTAGGGTTTAGGGTTTAGGGTTTAGGGTTTAGGGTTTAGGGTTTAGGGTTTAGGGGTTAGGGTTTAGGGTTTAGGGTTTAGGGTTTAGGGTTTAGGGTTTAGGGTTAGGAAGTTCATTAAATCGCACCCTGCACCAGCATGAGGCACAGCAGATCTGGCCTGTCGCATGCTGTGCTGGCGGCGGCGCTGGCCGCTTCGTGAGCACAAAATTTCCTGCAACAAGTTTTCATGCCCAAGGCCCTCAACTTTAAGGGATGCTACTGGGGTTTAGGGTTTAGGGTTTCGGGTTTAGGGTTTAGGGTTTAGGGTTTAGGGTTAGGGTTTAGGGTTTAAGGCTCCTGCTCAAGATCCATCACCCAAACTTTTGCGTGCTGCAAACGGACGTCCGAATTCGAAAAGCCTCCTGCCGCCGCTACTGGGTAAGAGAAGCCACCTACCTGAACCTTCAAGGTGCCGCCAGCAAGGATGGCCTCCAACCCCACATACTTTAAGGGATTCTAGCAGGGTTTAGGGTTTAGGGTTTAGGGTTTAGGGTGTAGGGGTTAGGGTTTAGGGTTTAGGGTTTAGGGCTTAGGGTTTAGGGTTTAGGGTTTAGGGTTTAGGGTTTAGGGCTCTGGGACTCTACCTCAGACCCCTAAGGTTGTATGCTTGGGTTTGGGGACCCCCTTTTTTTCCGATCCTCTAAGGGCACACAAGGGCCGTGTTCGGAGGATTTTAAGGGACGCCCATAGAAGGTACATCCTTAGAGGCCCAAGTTTGACTCCAACTTGAACTCTGAGGGCAATCACCTGGTCCCTCTAGATGGTCCCTTGGCTCAGGGTTTAGGGTTTAGGGTTTAGGGTTTAGGGTTTAGGGTTTAGGGTTCTGAAGTATGGGCCCTTGGGTGTTATAGGGTATATGAGGGGTATATCAGGTGTTCACCAAATCATGGGCCCATGTTGAGTGACCATGAAACCATCCTAAGCACAGAGTATTATGTGTTAAGGGTAGGCTGTCTACCCCAACCTCTAAAAGAAGATCCCTATAGCACTCATGCGAGAGTCATGTCTTATGTGCGATGCATGTGTTTTCCTATCTTTTCTATGAGCAAGTATGCAGGGATTTTGGGTTTAGGCATTTAGGGCAAGCTTTGAAGTAGTTCAAAGTGTTTTAGCATGACTGAGGGCAGGGAAAATGCATGCATCAACTCCCTAGCTCCCGATCCTCGTTGAGCAGGTGCCAGCCTTCCTCATGTCGGTTCCGCGGGCGTTGCAGCCTGGGCCGCATGAGACCCCCTACTTGGAGGTTCATGGCACTTAGGAACTACTTATACCTGTACTTATAACCCACTTACAAGCCCCTTAAGTGCCCGAATATGGTTATAAGGACAGTTATAATTGGTTAGGAAGTACCATGAACCTCCAAGTAAACCCTAAGCCCAAAAGCGTGAAATGGCGAAGCCCTGAACAAGCCCCTTAAACCCTCAACCCTAAACCCTATAACCCTAAACCTTCATGCCGTTGCATGAAATTACAGGGTCCTTAAGGGTTAGGGTTTAGGGTTCAGGATTTAGGGTTTAGGGTTTTAGGAAATATAGGGTCCTGAAGGTGGGCGTATTCCTTATTGAAGGGGTATTGAGGGTATTAGTCTTTCTGGGCCGAAACATCATGAGATGCGGAGGTTATGTGGGGTTCAAGGGAGGTTGGTAACCCAAGATTCCCTAAGACACACATGTATGTGTGCACATGTGTATATATACATATATATATATGTACATATGTATATTCCTATATACATATGTAAATATATACATATACATATATTTACATATATGTATAGGTTTGTCTGCTTTGTAACCTAGACGATGGCCGGTGGGATTTCGTGTGCCCTGAGCCCGACCCCAAACATCCCAAGCCATTTTGAGTTTATAGGGCCCTGAGCCCCAACCCCGAAACCTCAGGGATTCCGAGCACAAGTTAAGGTATATCCCTAGACCCTAAAAGGGTGTAGCGTCGTTATGGAAGGGGCATTGCGCTTTCTGGGCTGTCCTAAAACCCGAAACCTAAACCCTAAACCCCCGAACCTCGTGAACCCCGTAGACGAAGGTTGGCGCCAGGCGGATGGGGGCCCACAGGGCGGCACGCCCAGATGCGAAGCTTGGTTTCAGGTGGGGGTTTAGGGTTTAGGATGTAGGGTTTTAGGGTTTACGAAAATAGAGGGGGACTATATTACCCCAAAAAGTAGGACTCCCTTATAATGAGGACCCCCATAAGGTACCCCCTGTTTTCGGAAACCCCCAGGTCTAAGCCTTGGTGCTGGCGGAGTTTAGTGTCTGGGTTTGTTGGGACTTTTCTTGGTTTGTGGTGCTTTGGATCAAGGGATTCGGATACCCCTTAAGGTTTTCCTTTTATTTCGCCTAATATGGCTCGTATCTTATATATATCTTAGGAATCCTTAAAAGGGCCCCAAACCCAAGGGCACAAACTTAGGGGTCCAAAGTAGAGTCGCAGGATTGGATGTGAAAGTTTAGGGTTTAGGGTTTAGGGTTAGGGTTTAGGGTTTAGGGTTTAGGGTGTAGGGTTTAGGGTTTAGGGGGCTTCAAGTGGAGTTTAGGGCTTTGCCTCAGGCACTGCTGGTTCTGTCGAGGGCCCATGTCCCTACATAGTAGATACTTCGGGATTCAAGTCTAATGGTGTTTATATCGGCCTTGATTTTGGTCCCTTACCTCCTTGAAATGGTTCTGAGGTATGGGCCCTTGGGTTTTAGAGGGTATATAAGGGGTCCCCCATACTAAGGGACCATGCAACTTCCATGAGATAAAACGGTTTTCATATATTCGCTTTAAGGCCCAAGTATATACTATATCGCTACATGGACCCTGAGGGGTTTAGGGGAGTATGATCAGGTTGTCAGAGAGGAGGTTGCGGAAGTTCATCAGCTTACAGTAGGTGATGAGTAGGCAACCTTAAACTTTGACCCAGAACCCCCCCCTAGAACCCAACACCCTACACCCTAGACCCTAAACCCTAAACCCTCCCTTAAACCGCAAAGGTTACTCCTGCATAGAAACCCTAAGGCCTCCGAACCCGCAACCGCAAAATGACTTACTTCTTGTTTAGGGTTCAGGGTTTAGGGTTTAAGGTTCAGGGTAAAGTTGTACAGGGCCGTCTTGCAGAGAAAGAAAAAAGTATCGCAAGGCCACTTTATGCAGAACGACTAGAGTTTCTTCCAAGGCCCACGATGGCTGAGGGTGATGCGGTTGAGGGCTCCATCTACCCTAAACCCTAAGCCCTCAACACGGGACAGAAAGGATCAGGTAGGGAAAGGTCTTGAGATATGAAAGGGCTTCGGGCGTGAGTTAACGTTCGAGGTCTTTTGATGTTGAGGCCTGTGATCCGATTGTTGGACTTTAAATGGCCTTGGAATAGACTTTGCAGGGGAGGTGTGACACAGTGTCTATACACCTGTGGAGGAACTTTATGCTATGACTGCGAAATTGGACATGGGCAGGCAAATCTTGAAACTCGCTGTGTTGGGCTCTCCATCCACCCTAGACCCTAGACCCCTAAAAACTAAGTCTCTTGTGCTAGTGTGAGAGTCGAGACCCTAAACCCGAAAACCTGGGGAAATCAGCTTAACCTAAACCCTAAACCCTGAACCCTGAACCCTAACTTGCTTGGTTATTGGAGAAACAAGGAGCAAGAGCTACGAGTATGCCAAGGCCGGGGGGGGGGGGGTTTAGGGAGAAGTCATACTTGCGGGGAGAGGAGAGGAGGAGGGGGTCTGCGAAATGTGGGTTTTAGGGTCGCCGGGTTTTAGGGTTTTTGCGTCGCCGGGTTTTAGGATGATGAGGTTTAAGAGTGTCAGGGTTGCCCTATACCCTTAGTTAACTCTCAACCGGATCTTATCATGCTGGAGTCTATGTTAGGGGTCCCCTATTTTTGGAGCCTCAACCCCCCCCCCCCCCCCCAAATATGCCTAACCCTAAAGAGAGGGGCCCCGGGATGTGTGAAGTGCATGTCACGCGCTTTGCCAAATGGTCGCAAGGGTAGCGTGGCTCGTCCGACAGTCTGTTTTGTCATGAGGTACCGACGCAAATCCAGCATCTACACTTGCAGCTTGAAGTACAAATTTCCCACCCTAAACCCCGAAACCCTCAGCCTCTAAACCCCAAATTTGCCCAGGTCTCCGAAGCACAGGTCGGGGGCTTCAGGGTTTAATTAGGGTTTAGGGTTTGAGGTTTGACTCTCGGTCCCTGAGCCACACTTTGCTCTTCAAGCCCATCCAGCCAGCAAAAGAGTGACTTCTACATCATTGCAGCATGAAGGAGGCAGATTCACAAGTCTCACGGCCAGTCTAGGGGTGCTCAGTAGGCCCTTGGGACACTGTAGATTTCCCCTTCTTGGGTTTAAGAGGATCATATTCAGGAATATGTTGTCAGAGGGTCTTACGGGCCATCCTAGGCTAAATGGTGTTTGTTCTTGGGGGCTCTGCGCGGATGGCGTGGTGTAGATGCTTGCTTCTTGCCGCTGCGGTGAACCCTGCAAGTGCTTCGGACGCGGTTGGCGATGAGGTGGCTGGCAGCTCAAGGTCGCACACCTCTGACCGATTGCAGATTGCAGCTGACACTAGCTTTCCGCCTTTCGATCTGGCTGGAGACTTGGCTGCCCAGTGGTACCCTTTACCCAGTGGTACCCTGTACCCCCTTTTTACGTGTTCAAGGTTTCCTTATTAATGTAACCAACACCAAAATAAAAACAAAAAAGAGTGCCGTTATTATAATATGGTTGCTAAGGCTACTAAGAAAAATGTCCTCAGTCTCCCTAAACCCTAAACCCTAAACCCTAAACCCTAAACCCAAGGAGAAGAGGCTGGGTTGCTTTTCAGGGCCGGCCAAGCAGCCCAAGGGTTCGACTGCTCGGCCTCCCTGCTGGCCAAAGACTCACCCGGCATGGACTACCGACGCCTGCAGCTGTCGGTGCTTGCTGAAAGTAGCGTGTGCCTAGGCAGTCCCCTTGGGACATTTTTCTAGATTTTCCTTGGTATTTTAAAGGCGCCATCTTCAGGAATATTGTTTTCAGAGGCTCTTAAACGTACCCGATATACTCCCTCGAAGGGCAAAATCTAGGGGGATATACAGGTACCTCATTCCCTCATTCCCTACCAGCCAAAACAGTAAGTAAAGGGACCATCCCAGGACCCTAAACCCTAAACCCTTAACCCTTAACCCTTAAACCCTAAACCCTAAACCCTACGACACGGGTGGGGAAAAAAAAAAACCCTAAACCCTAACCCTAAACCCTTCAAAAAGGACCATCCTAGGTCCTCGGTGTGGACGAACTTGTGGGGGCCGTCGGAGGCCGAGCCAGTGCCGGACACTCTCTGGCTCACGAAGGCGCACATCTCAAGCTCCGGCGGAGACAAGGTCTCAGAACCCTGAACCCTAAACCCTAAACCCTAAACCCTAGACCCTAGACCCTAGACCCTAAACCCCAAACCCTAAACCCTAAACCCTAAACCCTAAACCATTAACCCAAACCTTAAACCTCGTACAGGGCTTAGGGATTGGGGTTCAGATTATCTTGTATAGTAGGAATCTGAGAAGTAGAGGGTATAGGACCCCCTTTTTTTTTTTTTGGGGGGGGGGGGGCTTCTTTTCGTCCCAAAGGATCATGGGTTTCCCTACTACCCCCCCTCTAGGTTCCCCCCTTAAATAACCCTTAAATAGGCTTGATTATCCCGAAATAGCCCTAGTTTTAGGGGAAACCCAGGGGGGGTGGGGGGTGGGATGGTAGCTCTAACTCTAAACCCTAAACCCTAAACCCTAAACCCTTAACCCAGAAAGTGGGTAGATGAAGGTTATGCCGCTGCTCACCGCGGCCTTAGACACTGAGCCACAGACTGCGGGCGCTATGCAGGTGACTGAGAACCTTGGGGGGACGCACATGAACCCTAAAAGGGTGGTTAGGGTTTAGGGTTTAGGGTTTAGGGTTTAGGGTTTAGGGTTTAGGGTTTAGGGTTTATATTACCCTATAATCGGAATATAGAGTAGTACTGGGCCTCGTATAGGGTTTAGGGCTTTTGGTTCAAATTACCTTATAGTAGGAATTAGAGTAGTCATTAGGGTCTAGGACCCCAACTTTCTTGGGGGGTCATCTTCCTTTAGAATGGGAATTGGAGAGGTATATCTTGCAGAGGACCCCCAATTTGTTCCATAATTTCGTCCCAAAGGAAGGCGCAGTTTCAGAGCGAGCTCACGGTCTACTATGACTGCTGGCAGCCCGGGGAGGCCCGCGTAGAGCTTCGTCTGACTCTGGCCGCCGACGAAGAAGGCAACCACAGCCAAGAGATTCTTGCCTAGCCAAGTCTTGAACTTTATAAGTTTTTTGGGGATGTCTAAAGTCTTTTTTGGGCTTCCTTACTTAGTAGGAGTATAGAAAAAAGTTGAACTCTTAATTTCTCCCTGGGCTGTCGGGAGAAGTAAGGATATGTCTGGCCTGGTCGAAGGTCTGCCGCTTAGGCTTCGAAGGCCTCGTGGTGCGGCATGGCGAGTTTAACGAGTGGCCGATCTTTCCGAGGTCTGATGAGAACGACAGCGGCTGGTTTGCGCCAGTTTTTTATCCTAGACTCTGAGTATGGGATGTAGGGTTTAGGGTTTAGGGTTTAGCGTTTAGGGTTTAGGGTTTAGGGTTTAGGGTTTAGGGTTTAGGGTTTAGGGTTTAGGGTTTAGCGGCTGGTTTGCGCCAGTGTTCCCCCCCCCCCCCCCCTCCAACAGAAAACCTTTTAAAGTTCAGGAAGACAGACCTTCAATCATCTTCAAGGGGTGTTTCTTTTGCTCTTTAGGTCTATTTTCGCAAGGCAACGAAGCTCAAGTATCCCGGTAGCGTGTAGAGTTTAGGGGCAGTATGGCACTTCGGTCCTTAGACTCTGAGTATGGGGTGTAAAGTTTAGGGTTTAGGGTTTAGGGTTTAGGGTTTAGGGTTTAGGGTTTAGGGTTTAGGGTTTAGGGTTTAGGGTTTAGGGTTTAGGGCTAGCGGGATCCCAGGCAGCGCGCCCACACCGCCCCTGCTGGATGCCGAAGGCATCCTAGAGGATGTCACTAAACTACAGCTCTCCTCACCAGGTGGCACCTTTGGCCTCAGTAGCTGAGTAGGTACGCTTTGACCTTTTTGGGGTTCAGAAAGGGTTTCGGGTTTAGGGTTATGTTCAGAAGACGTGGTCTTAAAGAGCAAAAACGACGAGAACGTAGGATGTAACTTCGCTAATTGGCTTGTTTGTAGTTCTTCGCATGTTTTTTTTTTTACGCAGAGGTTCCAAGTCTGGCCCTGGCTAATTCAGCTAGCGCGGGCCGACGAACCAAGCCCGGATGCAAAAAAGGGTTAGGGTTTATAAGGTTTAGGGTTTAGGGTGTGGGGGGGGGGGGGGGGGTATATGTAGTCCTACCGAAAGCTTAACCCCTTTTTGCCCAGGGTACTGAGCAACTCCCGGCAGTAATTGCTGATCCCAGAAGTGTCAAGAGTTTTTCTCCATTCAGGAAAAGCAGAAGGCAAATGCGGATGAGTGTGCGTGTAGTCTGTTTTTTTTTTTTTTTTGTTTTTTTTGTGTGGGTGTGTGTGTGTGTTTTCCGTCTTTCTATCTGTTTGTCTGTCTCTCTGTCTGTCTCCCTGTCTCTCTGTTGCCTGTCTGTCTCTCTGTCTGTCCGTCTGTCACGCGCGTGCGTATTTGCATCTGTGTGCGCGTACTAAGTCTTAAATGTGAATGTATGCCCGCTGCATGTATCTAAGCATCTCGGTATGCATGCATCATGCATGGCATATGCACATCTCAGTATGCATGCGTGTTTGCAGGCATGCAAGAAAGCATACATGTTTGTCTTTAGGTATGTTTGTGTGTGTGATCTATAAACGTACTGTTGTGTATTGTACTAGGTGTCTCACAGGTGCATTTGAGTTCTTGCAAGTTTGTGAACTTAGCAGATGCCGCATCATTCGCCAATCCGCCGCAGCATCCAAGGCGCCATCCGGTTACAGCCGCCCACAGTAGCCAGCTCAGATGACAAGCTGCTGAAGGTTGACATCAGGGGTGCGGCAGTGACGATGGCTCAAGGAGACACCTTCCTAGAGGTGGGCAGCGAGCCCACCGAGTTTACGGTCGTTTATACTTGCCAGGGGGCTGGCACTGCCGATGTGGAGTTGGGACTCTGGCGTGCCGTAGTCACATCCGCTCACGCCGCGCAGGGAATGCACCTGCATTGGCGAAAGCAGTGCGGTGAGGCCACCTACAAATTCATGGACATCTTTGTGACTTGGTCGCCCTAAACCCTGCACCCGACGCCCTTTTGGCCCTTTTTGGGTTCTGGGTGCCCTTTTACTAGAACAAGCAACCGCACAACGCGTACTTCTTTACCATGGTTCCTGAGCTACCAAGGTGAAAAGCGACATGAACGTGACAAAGGTGCGTAGGGTGTAACAGTGTGGGGTCCCCCCAACATCCGTCACCCTAGACCCTAGACCTTAAACTTGAACCTTGAACCTTAAACCCTAAACCCTAAACCCTAAACCCTAAACCCTAAACCCTAAACCCTAAACCCTAAACCCTAAACCCTAAACCCTAAACCCTAAACCCTAAACCCTAAACTAAAGCTCTCAAGAATCTAAGACCTACGCCGTAAACCCGGTGTAGGGAAGATTTGGGGCTACCTCTTTTGGGGGGGGGGGGGGGGGAGGAGGAGAGGAGTTTAGGAACACTATGCCCAGAGAGCTTCAGAACCCTAAACCCTAAGCCCTAAGGCTTAAGTAAATAAAATGTTAGCCTAAAACCTCTCTTCCGTTCTTTGCGTGAAAAGGTGCAGGCCATCTCACGGGGCCGTCCGATGCCGGGCTTCGAGCCTCCCTGCCGGAACCAGAGCAAGAGTCTTGGGGACTCAGTGGTTTAGGGTTCAGGGTTTAGGTAGGGGTTTAGGGGTTTAGGCTGTATGGCTTAGCGCTTCGGGTTTTTTCATGTTTTTGTGTTTTGTTTTTTTTTGTGCTTTTAGGGCGTTTAGGGCCCTTGAGGTTTTCGGGGCTTAAGGGTATTTTGGATTTGTCGTGTCTTTAGGGTTGTTCAGGTTTAGTTTACATGTAGGGCTTCGGCTTGAGAGGGTGTATAGGTTTTTGTTTAGGGTTCAGAGTTTAGGGTGGGTCTGGTCCATCTCTACATATCAAAGCCTATGTATAGGGATTGTAGTCTGCCTTAGGAAGGGCTTAGAGCAGCGTGGGGTCAAGGATCCCAGCGTTGCAGCTCAGTCCCGAAGCCCTAAGCCCTACCTGCACCCCCAAAGTCTGTAAAAAAACAGCCCAAAACCCTACCTATTTCTTAGTAGCAGAGTAGGTAACCTTGAACCTTTTTGGGTTAGTATAAATCCTATACAATCCCAACGGTTAACCTTCAGTTCCCTAGGCTACTGGACAACTAAGATTTTGCATATTTTGGGGGGGTTGAGGGGGGCTTATAAGTGGGTTATAAGTACAGTTATAATTAGTTACTAAGTACCATGAACCTCCAAGTAGAAAGAGAATCCTCGCCTGCTTGAGCGAGTGCGAGAGTCGAAGCCCTAGAAAGCCCTAAGTTCTAAACGCTGCAACCTGAACCCTAAAATCCCCAAATGAACCCTGAGCGCTAAACCGTAAACCCTAAACCCTAAACCCTAAACCCTAAACCCTAAACTCTAAACCCTAAACCCTAAACCCTAAACCCTAAACCCTAACCTGAATCTTAGGAGCAGCCACCCGGCCGTGGATGCCGCCAGCCCGAAGTCACCATCCCGTACCTGTGGCTCCCAGCAGCCCACATTGGAGGTCACCGCCAAGGACGGTTTAGGGTTTAGGGTTTAGGGCTTTAGGGTTTAGGGTTTAGGGTTTAGGGTTTAGGGTTTAGGGTTTAGGGTTTAGGGTTTTGGGCTTTAGGGTTTAGGCCGAGACCTGGGACCCGCAGGAGCCTAAAACCTGAAAGCCCTATAAACCCCCCCCAAACACCCCAGACAACACCCTTAACAAAAACCCTAAGAATCTCGAACAAGAAACTAAAGGCCAAGAACAAACCAGGAAACAAAAGCCTGGAAAAGCAAAACAAGAACAAAAGCAACACAACCCTGAACACCGAAACATAGCCAAAACAAACCAAAAGCCCGAAACAAGACCAACAAGGAAGGCAAAAAACAACAAGAACAACATCAAAACCTTAAACGACCCTACAAAACCCTGACAGACAAAACAATAAAGGAAAAAGACAAGAACAAAAACAACAATAGCCCTAAACCCTAAACCCTAAACCCTGAAAGGAGAGTAAGTCTGCCATTGAGATGCGTGTGGACCCGGAAGGCTTGGTCATGCCCCCGGCCACTCGGCAGTTCTGGTTTAGGGTTTGCAGGGTTTAGGGTTTAGGGTTTAGGGTTCGTACAGAACCGAGATCGATAAATTCAGAAAATATGTCCCCTGATGAGGTTGAGTAGGGGCTCTTCACCTCAATCCCTATACTCTCGACCTTGGGAGTTGCTTGTGCTGAGGCAAAAAGCCTAAAAAACGCCTAAAACCCTAAAACCCTAAGCCGCAGGATTTTTACAAGGCCAATGAATCAGACGAGGCCTTGGCCCTAAACCCTGAAACCCGAAACTTCTAAAACCCTAAAGCCCTAAACCCTAAACCCTAGCCCTAAACCCTAAACCCTAAACCCTAAACCCTAAACCCTAAACCCTAAACCCTAAACCCTAAACCCTAAACCCTAAACCCTAAACCCTAAACCCTAAACCCTAAACCCTAAACCCTAAACCCTAAACCCTAAACCCTAGCCCTAAACCCCTAAAAACCCAAGCCGCAGCCGAGGCCCTGCAGCACCAGCCGGACGTCTCCTTTGACCAGCGCATCGTTGCTCGGGGGACGAAACCGAAGCTTCAAAGGGGTTTAGGGTTTATAGGGTTTAGGGTTTAGGGTTTAGGGTTTAGTGTTTAGGGTTTAGGGTTTAGGGTTTAGGGTTTGGGACCCCCCTTCTTCCCCCCTTTGAAGGTGAAAGCCTTCATCTCACGGATGCCCGAGCAGTTTGCGCGCCTGGGTCGGAGCAAAGTGTGCCCCAACTGTGGCGACTCCCTCCGGGCCGGCCAAGGGGTGCCAAAGGCCAGTTTAGGGTTTAGGGTTCAGGGTTTAGGGTTTAGGGTTTAGGGTTTAGGGTTTAGCCCCTAAACCCTGAAGCTTTCAGGGTTTAATGGCCAGCTCTCACAATAGTTATATAAGGCCCTGAAGTAATTAGAATAGGGTTTTGGGGGGTTATTGTAGAAAATACAAAAGGGTCATAAGGGAATATTATTAGTAATTATTCCGGCCCCTATGTCAGCCCCCTTAGAAGCTGCATCTCGTTTCTTGCATGTGCACACATGCAGGCATATGATGTATTTAGATTTGTAGATCTTCATGTGTTTGATTATGTGTTTATGCGCCTTTGTTTATGGTAATGCTTGCACATAACCGAAAGAGAGTCTGTTGAACAAAGTCGTCTTGAAAGTGTTCCAAAGGCCGCTTCTCAGACGATGATGCTCAAGTACATCTGCCACAAAGAGGGCGTCAGCCCGATCATGGTGACGATCTATGTGGTGGCTAGGCAGGCCCTGGGAATGTTTGTTTCCATTTTCCCTTATGTGGGTTTAAGAGAACCAGAATTACGAATATTCCTCGGAGGGTTTTAAGGACCATCCTAGTAAAGCGCCCTAGGCCGTAAGCCCTAAGCCCTATCACTAAACCCCACACCCCAAACCCCAAACCCCAAACCCCAAACCCTAAACCCTAAAGCCTACCGAGGAGGGCTACAAGCCCATCGACTTCGCCTGGCGCAAGCGCTGTCAGGAGCCCAAGAAGCCCCGAATCGGCAGGGCGCTGACTGCGCCCCAGGCCATGACCATGGCGTTCTTGGTGTCCTGGGCCTGATATCTGGGGTTTAGGGTTTAGGGTTTAGGGTGTTTCAAGTCCTGGGCAGTCAGAGTTTACCTTGAAGTTTTTGAGCAAGCGGTGTATAGGATGTGTGGGTTTCCGAACATAGGGGGTACCTTCTTGGGGCCCTCATTCTAAGCTGGGTTTTGGAGTACGATACTTATTTGTTTTTGGGGTTCTGGGTTTCTATTATAGCTACTTGTACCGTATATACTTCTTTTTCCCAGGTCTACTCCAAAGTAGGGCAAGGGAGTCCTACTATTTGGGGGCTATATTCTGGGTCCCTTATTGTCGCAAACCCTAAACCCTAAACCCTAAAACCCTAAACCCTAAACCCCATGAACGATCTTGTGTTGGCCACCTTGTGACACCGATCGATGAGGAAGTGATGAAGTTCCCCCAAGGGAAGCTGCCTGTGTGCCGGCAGCCTCAAAGTCCTTTGCTCAAAAGTGCTAATCTTTATGAGTTATCTGTAAGATTCTATTCTTAATAGAATTATAGTAATCTTCTTACTATACTACTTCGTTTATAGATCTTGATATTATCACATTGTTAACATATTCTGTTGCCATATTATTTCTGCTTAGTCTCCAGTGCTTCTTTGCAGATTGTTCTGCAACTTGCTCTGCGTTTTGTTGTGGTTTAGGGTTTAGGGTTCAAGGTTTAGGGTTTAGGGTTTCGGGTTTAGGGTTTAGGGCCTTATGGGTGAGGGGGGGGGACGATTGGCAGTAAACCCTGAACCCTAAACCTAAGCCCAACACCCGGAGCTCTTGCCTTTGCCTAAACCCAGACCCCTAAACCCTAAACCCTAAACCCCTAAACCCTAAACCCTAAACCCTAAACCCTAAACCCTAAACCCTAAACCCTAAACCCTAAACCCTAAACCCTAAACCCTTGCCTTTGCCGGACCTTTAAGGTCTGTGGACTCATCGGTCTGGTCGTTTGCATGGTTTGCCTTTTCTGCAGTTCCGACTCCAAAGAGAAGGAGAAGCTTTTCTTGGGACGAGGACGCCGGGTTTAGGGTTTAGGGTTTAGGGTTTCGGGCTTAGGGTTTAGGGTTTAGGGTTTAGGATTTAGGGGTAGGGGTATAAGTAAGGTTAACTATGTATTCAGGGTACTGATCTCCCCGGGCGGATCTCCCTACTTGCAATCGTAGGGATATGTCCACAGGAAATCGTGTTTTTCTTCGTCTGTTAGGGCCCTGAACATGAATTTGGGAACCCGCAAGCAACCACCAGCTGCCGCATACCCCTTTTCTAGTTCCTTCTTCCGGGCACCTGTATTTCTTTCCTCATCATACAAACCATAAACACAAGATTGGGGGCTCTACACTCTAAACCCCAAACCCCAAACCCTAAACCCTAGACGTGGCGCTGTGGTTAGCCCTTCGCCGTGCCCGCAGACAGGCAAGTGATGGCTGACTCACTTAATTCTGAATTGGAATCGGTTTAGTCGCCAAGCGTCTCGCTTCGCAACAGTCCGCATGACCGATTGCCTAAACCCTAAACCCTAAACCCTAAACCCTTAACCCGGCGCAAAGCATCTGCAGATGAGGATCCAGCAAGGGAGGCCGGAACATCGAGTTCGGTCGTGTCGGCCCCGACTCACAAAGAGTTGGTCTCTCGGGGTACTTGGAAACGCTTTTTTCCTTTGTTGTTTTGTTGGGGTTTAGGGTTCAGGGTTTAGGTTTTAGAGTTTAGTGTTCAGGGTTTAGGGTGTAGGGTTTAGGGTTTAGGGTTACTAGAACCCCTAAGGAACAGCTTAAGTACAAAAAACTTTTGCAAGGGTACCACGTTCAGTATAGGTATTGGGTCAGACGAAGAGATTGTCTTCCACTGACGCAGGAAGACATTATTAGGATGTGGACATACATGTCGAACGGGAGGTAGAGACTATGTGCGCATGGTGTAATGCTAGAGTATGGCGTAGATGTGGTTCGGATTAGAAAACTGTTGTTGCCGTTGTTACTGTCAGCCTGATGATCGGCCGCCAGGCGTGCAATTCACTCGAGCAAGAAAAGTGCGCAACCAAGCTGAGCTGACAAAGGGGTAGGGGTTTATTCAGCACAGCAGAAGATGTACACGCTAAATAACCAACACTTAACGCACTATTCAAGGTGCAGGACCCCACAGCCACCTTCAAAGTCTCTCAGCCCACAAGAAACCTTGGTTCTTGGAGCTATACGCTGAACCCTACACCCTACACCCTGAACTTTCTGGGGTTGAAGAGCCTCCCAAAAGCCCTAAACTGCATCGCATGCTGGGGTGCTGTTGCCTGAAATTCCAAGCTTCAATTTTAGGGTTTAGGGTTGAGGGGTTTAGGCAAGCCTTTTAGCCTTTCAACCTTCAACCTCACTGTAAGCCCAAAGCCCTAAGACTTAGACCCTAAATTCGAAACTCACCAAAATATGATCCCTAAAGCCTGAACTGAGGCAGAAGCCCTCAGCCAAAAAGAGAAAACCAGAGACCAGCCTGCAACTGCTTGCTAATTTGTAGCTTTAGGGAATTAGGCGCTATAGCATCCCCAGAGGGTTAGGTAAGGTTTCAGTCAGGTACCCAAATCCCTAACTCGGACAGTCGAGTATCCTTCATACAGAGATTGTACATTGGGAGGTGGTGAAGGCCTGCGAGAACCATGTGTGCAAAACAGGGTTTAGGGTTTAGGGTTTGGGGTTTGGGGTTTGGGGTTTGGGGTTTGGAGTTTAGGTTTACCAGTCGCAGCAATGAGCCCGGTTGCAAAAGGGTTTACCAGTCTGTTGCACCCGCAGTTTTGCCAGCTCACAATTTACGTGGAAACTCCCAGTTCGCCGCGCAGAGCGCCGGTGCAGACTGCAAGAATACGGCCCAAACGTATCACTCTCGCACAGTCCACACCGATGTTCATTCCTCTACCTCTCTCAATTTTCTAAATCCACAACGTTAGGCCTGCAACCTCAACCATATTTACACCCAAAACCAAAGCCCTCGAATTCCAAACTCACCCTAAACAGTGACCCGTAGTGCCTCAGTTGAGACAAGCACCCCAAGCAACATGAACAAAACCTACAACTCTAGGCTGCCCCGTAGTGCCCTTATTTCCTTTTTTGGGGCGGTCCAGGTTCCTTCATAAAGCCCTTCAAGCAGACAAGGGAACCCTTTTTAATCCTAGGTTTCTGGGCGACCCAGGACCCTAAACCCTAAACTCTAAACCCTAAACCCTAAACCCTAAACCCTGCGGGCAGGAGCTCCTTCGGGGATCGCTTGGCCGACACGGCCTCGGATCCAACTTTCCCGACACAACCTTTCGGTTTAGGGTCTAGGGTTTAGGGTTTAGCGTTTTATGGTTTAGGGTTAGGGTTTAGGGTTTAGGGTTTAGGGAAGTTTAGGGTTTAGGGTTTAGGGCTTAGATCCTCACTTGAAAGGCACGCAGACCCGGAGTGGGCCCCCATTTCCTTTTTCTTAGGGTTGGGGCTCCCCTATACTCCCCTCAAAGCCCAAACTGGGTACTCCTGGGTCTGGAGCACACAAATAAAGTACCTCCATTTTCTCTCAGAGTTTGAGAGGTTTGCGTTAGGAGGGCTACAGTCAGGATTTGGGGGTTTGAGTCTGTTTACCTCTGCTTTTGTTTTCGGCTTCCAGCTTATTAGCTTCTTGTCCTCCAACCCTAAACACTACCTGGACTCCTTGCCGACAGCTTTTGATGTGTTCTGCCTTTCCGTCGTATAAGAGGCAAGTACCCCTAAGCTGCAGGGGGGAAAGACACCCAGGCAACCCTCAGCGTGCTTGGTATCAGTCTACCGCAACGTTTAGCACATGTAGGCAGATGGTAGGTCCCTGCACCTTCCTCAGCTGTCTTCATGTTAAACCCTAAATCCTAAACTACCCAAAACCCTGAACCCCAAACCGCCGTTTAGGGCATAGGGCCAGTAGAAGCCAGGAGACTAAACCCTACAACCTTAAACCCAGGATGGGCCCTGATACCCTAGAACCCTTAAAACAGCCCCTTGCAGGGTTGATTATGGCGATAGTAAGGGGCCATTCCGTCCTGGAATGCCAGCTGCGGTCCTCATCGCTCGTGGTCAAAGGGTTTAGGGTTTAGGGTTTAGGGTTTAGGGTTAGGGTTTAGGGATTCGGGTTTAGGACTGAAGCTATGCTCATCATCCAGTGCGATGAGCAGGTTGCATGGGCTCACTGGTCTTCTTCAGAGGGCGGGTGCCACCCTGAACCGGAAGCCCTTAAACCCCAAACCCTAACCCCCAAACCCCAAGCCCTAAAGCCCTAAACCCAAAACCTTAAACCCCAAACCGTAACCCCCGAACCCCCAGCCCCAAACCCCAAATTCCTAAATCCTAAGCCTCAAAGCCCTACCTAAGTTCTGTCTGCATGCCTGGCATACTTCCCCATTGATTTCTGCGTCGAAAGCCTACTTTCCCCTTATTGGGTGGGTCAGATTTAGGAGCATGTTTCCAAGGGTGTTAAGGGCGATCCTAGAAACCCTACACCAGAAATCATGTTTGGGGTTTGGGTTTTGGGTTTAGGGTTTAGGGTTTGGGGTTTGGGGTTTAGGGTTTAGGGTTTAGGGCGTTTAGGAGGCAAAAGTTACACAGGCTATATAATCAGTGCTGAGGCCCTGGATGAGGCGGCGGAGAGTGGCGATGTGGCCACAACTGAGGCCGGTGAGGCTAAGATTCCATATCTACCTTAAGAACCCCAAACCCTTTTTTTTTTTTTGGGGGGGGGGGGGGGGTTAGGGTTTAGGGTTTAGGGTTTAGGGTTTAGGGTTTAGGGTTTAGGGTGTAGGGTTTTAGGGTTTAGGGGTTTAGGGGTTTAGGGGTTTAGGGGTTTAGGGGTTTAGGGTTTAGGGTTTAGGGTTTAGGGTTTAGGGTTTAGGGTTTAGGGTTTAGGTAAGTTGGTATACAAACCTCTTGGAGGATTTCTTAGGTAACCTACAAGAAATGCAGGCGTAGGTGCGGTCACATTCCCGTCTAAGGCTGTAGCGCAGTGCGGGTTCAAAAAGGGTTCTTAAGGCAGTGAATCCGGAGGTGGTTCGAGCTTCGGGTGCAGGGGACCATGGACTTGATGCAGAGATTCCCTATTTGTCAAAGGAAGATTCGACGTACCCCCCAGGCTTAACCCATAAAGCAAAGTAAGGGGTATGGTAAAATCGTTCTTCAGATTATCCTTTAAATTCTCCTTTTAATTTTAGAGGCCGAGGGGTATGGGTTTGGGTTATGTTGCATTATTCTTAGAATTAGGCTCTGGGTTTGGGGTTCTAATATGTCTTCACCTCCCTGGGTCCGTCTGAGGCGGGTTCAAGGATTTTTTTTGGTTAAGGAGTTGTTCGATTTGGGCTCTTCGTGTGCACAAGCACTATACCAACACATATCGGTAGCAGCTTCACATCTACTGCCGTATGTCAACAGCTCCCCCACTCATGCGCCCATTGGTTTTCAGGGTTTAGGGGGCCGGAACCCTCAATCTTCTTCCCCTATGAAGCCCCTATAAAACCCCTATAGTAGCCCTCTAAATCAACCCCAAAGAACCCCTAATGTCCCTTATGAGGTCCCTCGCTAGTCCCTTGATTTAGGGTTTCGGGTTTAGGGAAGGGAAGGACTAAGATGGTGTTGCCAGGCGAGGACAGCAGCAAGCCTGATGCCAAAGGATTTTCCCTTCCACCCCATTTCTATAGGGTTCTTAAGGGAGGGGGGTTTAGATGGGAGGTAGGTACCTAGGGAGGCTGAGGGACGCTTAGGGAGTAGGTGGGGAGTATTAGGCAACCTTGGGTTTCTTCACCCCTTGAACCTCCCTCCCTTAAGAGCCATATACCAGACTCTCAGCCCTCTACCCCATAAAGCCCTTGGGTTCTAGAACGGTTCTAGCCAGTTACGAGGAAGCCCAGGGTTTAGGGCTAAAGGTTAGGGCGTATTGTTAGGGGGTCAGGATTTAACATGTCGACCGCTGGCAATCCTCAAGGCTCTGTACACCAGGCTCGTAGACGACAACGTGTTCGAGGCACTCTGCCCCTGCTCCACCGTTGGCATTTTTCTGAGGTTTGACAAGTCTTGGACCCTAAACCCTAAACCCCAAACCCTAAACCCTAAACTCTAAACCCTAAACCCTAACCCTAAACCCAAACCCTAAACCCTAAACCCTCAGGCATCACTTGAGGTTGGCTTGTGAGTTCGCAGCTTTGGCTTTTACATTCCACGCGAACCGGAGCCTAAGACCCTCACGAAGAGTTCTGAGCAGGAAGACATAGCCAAAGAAGAGATGGAGAGATGGAATCATGCGTAGACATGCATGCGCAACACCGAGAGCGAGGAAGAGAGAGAGAGAGATTCTGCTTAGGCAGGAGGCGTTGGGCTCTTGTCAAATGGCTGGATTATGATGATGATGATGATGATGATGATGAGAATTATTATTTTCATTATGATCATCAACATTTTCTGAAACATTCTTTGTCATTCTTAATTTGTTATGTTTTTTGTTTTGTTTTGGGGGGTCTGGGGTGAGGTGTTGCTTGAAGTGAAGGTTTCAATCGCCCACAGGTTCACCGTGCATGGCTCCCTCAACTGCCTGAACCCTAAACCCTAAACCCTAAACCCTAAACCCTAGAAGTTTTTTTTTTTTTTTTAAATGCTGCCCTGAGATGCACCCGAACCCCGGCTTTTAACGGAGAGCTCTCATGACAGGGCCTAGAACCTAGAAGTGGTCTGTAAATAAACCCTACACCCTAAGCCTCAAGCACGAAAACTCTCTCCCTCAACCCAAAATGTCACAGGTTACTAGGTGTTATGGTTCATCCTGGCTTCGGGGTTAAGATTGGGATGTTCCCCCTTATGCTAACAGTCCTTGATAGGG